GATGAAACATGGCTGGACATTTCAGCAAGACAATGAGCCCAAACACAAAGTCAAGGAAACTCTCAGTCAGGTTCAGTACTTTCCCCCTGTGCCATTCCACATTATTACAAATAACTTCATTTCTGGACATTTATGGTTTGATTTCTTTGTATGTATGGATCACTTGGGTTGTTACCAACATCTGGTGAGAATTTCATGTCATTAGCACCTCTAGTAATATATTTACTGAGAAAAATGGTGACGTGTTCAATACTTATTTTACCCGCTGTATGTTGTAAATTGGGTTGAAAGTTTTTTGGGTTTTTTTTCACTTGATTTTGAGTGAATATGGTCCAATTGAATCAAATATAATTTCTCGTTATTTTATATGGTGACAGATAAATGTTTGGATAATTTTTCAAAAGAACAAACATTTAATAATTTTTCAATTTTTAAACTTTATTCATTTCTTTAAAAATAACAAAATAAATTGATATACTGTACAATAAAAATACAAATCACAAATAAAATGAAAGGCGGCAGAAAGAAGGAAAAAAAATCTTATAATATCTGCGCCTATTTCTTCCCAAAATAAAATTTTTAAAGAATACTAATCTACAAACAAGAAAAACTAAACAAAAACAACCTCAAATCCTTGTTGAACAACATTTAAACACATTATATTGTTTCATATTTCTTTAACAAAGTGACTTTTATCATTCTCTTAAACATAAACGTTGATTTGGCATTTTTAATAACAAGTCTTTCAGGGCAGGTAAGAAAAAATAACTTCTGGACATAAAAAACTTAAGATTAACATTTATTAACGGTACCATCATGGTCTGTCCTGTGCAGAATGAGAAAATGCAAAATTATTTCTTTATTAAAACCTCTGTAAGCTTGCTCCAGTTAATTTTAGCAGCATGAATCTTTGCACAGGTGATGTCCACAAGTGGGTTTATGGTTTCCAAGAGTTTTTGCCTGATTCATTATGGTTTTAACTGGGTTATATACTGTTAAATGAAAAAAATATTCAGGTGCGAGTGAAAAAATAAATAAAATTATGTTCATTCTTAATATCTCTAAAACCACAGCAGCTGTTTTAATACTTACACTTCTGATAAAATCTCCCAAGTGTTGCTTTATTTTGATACSAAGATTATTTAAGTAGAGTTTATAAATGCTGAGATACACTCATTTATATTTCAGCATGGTATTTTGAGCAAAAACTTTAAGAAAACCCCTCAGGGCTGAAGAGGTTAAAGATCTTGTGTTTTTACATTTTATTAAGACGTTGTGTGTGTGTGTGTGTGTGTGTGTATGTGGAGGAGCTCAGAGCTGATAAACAGTTTCTTCCTCAGAGCCTCCTCATCCTCCTGCAGAACCTTCCCACCATCCACTGGGGAAACGAGGAGGTGGGCCTCCTCCTGGCCGAAGCTTACAGACTCAAGTACATGTTCGCCGACGCCCCCAGCCACTACAAGAGGTAGGCCTGAGGGGACCGGACCGGACCGGACCTGCTGGGTCTGAGTGTCCAGGATGAGCTGGCCTCTCGTCATGAAGACCCGGGACTTCCAGCTGGATTTGTTTCCTGGTGCGTAAAGAGCTCAGAGTTCAGGACTGTTACAGTGAATTTAATGGTTTTAACTGAAACCTTCACACAAAACAACACATTTTAAAGGATGAAGAATGTCTGAGATTCTATGTTTATGGAATTTATTTCTTTGTTTTATGTGTTTGAAACACTCGTCTCAAACCAGGTGGCTGTTTCATCTGGGTTTTAGTGAATGTAGAGTCTGATCCTTCCAGCGTCCTCTGGGAGGACTCCCAGGTGTTCCCAGACCAGCTGGGAGACCTGCACTGTGCACCTGTCCTCTGTACTGGACAGATGGACTTCCTGTATCAGAGCTCGTATTTATCAAAAGTTATTAAAACTCTTCAGTCAGAATGAGTCTTACTCTCCTGGAGGTTAAGACTGCTGCAGAGGACTCCAGTGTTCAGAGATGCCACCAGGGGTCTGAGATGGACTGAAGAGACAGAAGACGGAGAGCACAGCTGTGTCCTCTTCAACAACACTCTGCACCTCCTCAGGAACTGCTCTAAGTGGTCCGGGGGTCCCACACCTGAGTCTGATTCTCAGTTCCAGGAAAACAGGTTTAGTTGTCAACACAAAAGAAAGAAGTGGAGAGAAAAACGATCAGTAGTGACTTAATGTTGGACTAAAAGGTGGATATTTCTGTGGCTTTTGGAGAGAATATTAAACTCTCAGCTGGTGAGTGAAAGCAGACCACTTGATTTATTTATTTTTCTCCCACTGGTGGGATTGAACTTTTCTTTTGTTTTCTTTCTTTAACTCAAACTTCACAAAATCTGTTAATTTCATTAAAAAAAATAATAATCTGTAGCACGTGGGGGGGGGTCTCAAACAAATCAGATAATGACAGAGCGGTGTGTGTGTGTGTGTGTGTGTGCTTGTTTCTACTACAGAATGAGGACCATTTGCACCATAGTTATTATCAAAGTGAGGTCTTTGATGTAAAGTGAGGACCTYTTCAATGTCCTCACTTTGTTTGCAGCTCTGCTGTGCTTTACTAGTTAGGTTTAGAGGTATGGTGTGAATTAAGCTTTGGTTCAGGTTAGAGTTAGCTATAGACCAGTAAGGGTTAATTTTAGGGAAACTGTCTGGGTTAAGCATGAATCATTGTATCGCGTGATTGTTAGAATAATAAACGAAACTTTCAATCCCACTGTAATTTTTTAATTTTTAAAATATTTTTTAATTTTTTTACCTTTTGTTTCTTTTGTATATATATCTGATTAAACCTGTTTTCCACCTTGTAACTGAGAATAACAGTCAGGTGGGGAGGAGGACAKCTGTAATCTCTGTCTCCTCAGTCCATCTCAGACCCCTAGTGGCAACTCTGAACCACTTAAAAGTCCTCTGGAGCAGTCTGAACTTTTCTTGAGAGTAAGAGAGACTCTTAGACTTAAGAATTTTGATAACTGGCACTTACACTTAAGTCTGAGAGTAGGAGCAAATCTGAGAAATTTTCAGCACTTAAGTCTAAAAGTCCACTCTAAGAAGTTTGATAAATACGGGCCCTGATCTCTTTCTCCTGCTCAGTACCCAGAGTTGAGCACAGGTGAGGGTGGGAGCGTAGGCCGACAGGTAAACAGAGACGTGCTGGAGTCACTGTCAGAAATCAGAAGCACAAAGAGAGCTCTACTTTCCTTTAGTTTAGATTCACCAAATTAGCCGAGAACAATCAGCCTCCTAAAGCTTCGATTCCAGGCTTTAACCAGTAGATTTGACTGGTTTCCAGTTCTGATATGTAATTATTTTTAAAAGTGAAAAGTAGGTACTGCTATGTTTTATTGAATGTTATAAAAGCAAGTTTGTGTGTGTGTGTTCTGTTTTTCTTTTATTTATCAATAAGAAGGTTTAATTTTTAAATTGTTTGTGGGGAATTCTGCTACTATAGTAATAATAGTTAGAAAAAAAATTCTATTTAAGCACATTTCAAAACAATTATTGACCAACTTTTACTGTTTTCTGCAGGTAAACACTTAAAAATGTTTTCTTTGAAGACACATGAACCTTTAATTTAAGGAAATGTGTGGATTTTCTTCCTATGTTTTTTTTTAACCTTCATGTTTTTGCAGTGAGAACCTTTAATATTTTGAGACAATCTGTTTCAGTGTTTGATCAACTCGTGTTTATCCATCCGTCGACCACTCTGAATGTTTTCTTTGTGTTACGGTTTTGACCTGTAGCCTTAAATCTGCATTCATTCATTCATTTACCGTGGTGGTATTGTTCACTCCGTGTTTTATTTCAAATGTGAAGAACTCAAAGCCGACACGAGGCGTTAACCTGCTGATTCATATAAAGGCCAAATGTTTGTTTGTTTTGTTTGTTTCAGGCAAATCTGAAGGTTTTAAAGCACTTGAGTCATCAGAACTGGCTTCAGCCTTAAATGATTATTTATTACAGTTTATGCTGTATATTGATTTGTTTTGTTTATATTAAACTAATTGCTACTCTTCATCCTGGTCTTTCTGTTTGTATGTTCAAGTGATATTCAATATTTACAGTTTTAGACATTGTAGACAATACAATTTAAAGCAGAGGAGAAATACACATCACTGTTTATTACATTTTTTGTAAAGTAATTTTATTTAAAATAAAGCCTTTAATTGACAAATTCTTGCTAAAGTTCACAACTAGATTTCATTAAAGGTTACACTCAGTGAAACTTCGTAATATAAAATAGTTATGATCTCTGCAGAGTGCCCTGCTATTGCTACTGAACAGTAATAAATACAATAGTTAACAAAAAATTTCATTTCCACTTTAAATTTCTCAAGTAAAATTCTATATTTTTAGTAAATAAAATCAAACTCTTTCCACATTTCTCATTTGTTCTGCTGTAGGCAATAAATATAAAATCCAATTATATTTATTATTGAGGTCCCATGAATAAAATTAACTGAATGATGAACCTCATTCAGAAAAGGGGGGTGGGGATATTGTGCATAAAAAGTCAGCAACAAAGATTAGTTTTGTTTTGGTGGGGTTTTAGACATATTTTTTTACATTTTGTTATTTTTAATTTACTGAGGTAAATTTGCTTATTTGTTGTTTTTCTTTTTATTTATTTAACACCATTTATAAGCCGGCTGTCAAAACGGCTCGCTGGGGGAGGCGGAGTTTGCGCTCCAAGCCGCATTTCAGAAGAGCTCCTCCCCTCACTTCTATCCGGGTCCTGCCCCGGCTGAAAGAAAAGGAGGAGCACTCGCGCCCAGAGTTACCGGAAGTGATCTCCGCGTCCACAAACTTCACTTTCGCTCTCTGCAAACATGCGAGTGTGGTTCCCAATGAGAGAACAGTCCGGTACCGACCCACACAGGCTGATTTTACCCGGTTCTCCGTACCGAACTTGGTCTGGATTTGTTTGAGAGCTCAGGTAAGCCGTTTACAAAACAACAACAACGGAAGTTGTTGAAATGTGGTTTTTTAACATGTTAGCATAGCTTAGCAGCGAGCTAACGTTAGCAAACATTGAGCTAAAGCTGTGGTCGTGTGTTTACTGACGGAGGACACGTTTTCTCAAATAAAAATAAAATCACATTTGAATTAGATTTGTGTGTCAAAATTTATAGTTGTGTTTGTACCAACRCGGTAATTTCCAAAGAGCCGTTTGCTTAATACTTGATCTGTCAACACAAAATGAGCTAATTTGAGTAGAAATCAAAAGAAGAAGTGGAATCACGGTTAAATAAAACAAAAAGCAGAAGTCAGTTTAAAAAGAAAAGCTTTAAAATATCATTCAAGAAGCCCAATGTATTGATCATGACTTTTTGGAGGGAAAAAATATTTAAATATAAAAGGTGTCATATTACCTTTTAATGCATTTCTATCTGCATATGTTTCAGTGACTTCCTGCATCTACCTCTCATTTTCTAAACCTTTAAAAATAAAAGTCTGACTCGTGTCTCCTGTCATTCTTGAAGCTGGAGCGAAGCTCTGAAAGGATGGAGGGAGTCAGCTGGAGCACGTCCAGGTCCCAGGAGTCGTTCAGCCGCTCCACCACGGCCGACACGCTGTCCAGGCTCGCCAGCTTCATCGCCCGCTCCAACACGAGGCAGCACGCTCAGAGCCAGCAGCAGCTGTCCCGCCTCCAGCTCTACGTGTGTCAGGAGTGCGGGAAGGCTTTCCCGTACGCGGCGGCTCTGCTGCAGCACCAGGAGCTGAGGCACACGCTGCCCAAGCCTCACCGCTGCCCCTCCTGCGGCCAGGCGTTCTCCCTGCGTTCGTCCCTGCACCTGCACAAATGCACGACGCGGCTCTCGAACCCCGGCGAGCCGCAGGACAAACCGGCTCGCCGCCCGCCGCACCTCTTCTACGGCAGCCCGTACGCGTGCGCCCCGTGTGGGAGGAGCTTCAGCCAGAAGCAGGCGCTGCTGCAGCACCAGCAGGCGGGTTGCAGCAGCCTCCCGGACGGTTCTCCTCCGGAGGGCAGCTCGGCTCGCTCCGACCTGTCGGACAGCCGAGCAGCGAGCGTGTGCCGGCTCTGCTCCAGGACGTTCAGAACAGAGGCCGCTCTGCAGCGGCACAAACACAACAATCACGTCGAGGAGAAGCTAAAGCCCGGAGGAGGCGACAACGAGGGGGAGAGAGGAGAGAGGACCGATGAGGCTTCGGGAGCAAACCAAAGGCCCGTTTCCAAACAGAAGCTCCTCAGCTGCCGCTCCTGTGACATGGTGTTCAGGAGCACCTCCAAGCTCTACGTGCACCGCAAGGAGAAGCACAGGAGAGAGAAGTCGACGAGGAGGGAGGCCCGGCCRCCCGTCAAGAAGCACCGGAAGGTGGGCGTGTACCCGTGTCAGATCTGCTGCAGAGTCTTCTTCCACCATCTGTCGCTGAGGGCACATCTCAGACGCCACGCGCTGTCACAGGCCATCAAAAACAAGAACCCTCGGGGACGTCCCCCTGAAGACCCCACACCCTCAGAAAACACATTGAATAAAATCATCAAGACACGCAAACCTGGTCCCGGGAGGCCCCCGAAGGTTCCCAGAGCGTTGAAGAGCCGGGGGAAAGCTCCCGAAGGAGCGGAGGAAGAGGAGAAGGAGTTCCCCTGCCCCTCCTGCCCGGAGGTCTTCTCTGTGCGGCGGCAGCTGAAGGAGCACATGGAGCTGCACCAGACCTCGGAGCAGAGGAGGCGCTGCAGCGTCTGCGCCAGCGCCATGGAGTCCTGCAACGGGCCGGGCTCCCGGAGGCACCGGCTGTACCACTGCGTGCCCTGTCACCTGGGCTTCTCCGCGCTGGACTCCTTCCTGCAGCACTGTCAGGAGCACCTGCGGCTCCGCGTGGAGGAGGACCGCATCTCAGAGGGCGTTACGCCGCAGGCCGGGACAGCCTGACGGACACGTGTTGCCTCGTCGCACCGCAGTGGTCCAGGTTTTATTCACCGGGCTGACAATCAGTCAGGAGGGTCCGTCTCTCGTCTTCATCACCTCGCTGCCTCCAAACACCTCTGAACATTTTTTGTTTTGTTTTGTTTTTACTCGTTGAATTGGCATCAGGTGTTTATTGATGTGAGTTCTTCCACTGAAAGCATTACTTTAATTTGTAACTGAGGTTTTTGTCTCAGAGAAGAACTGAACCAACATTCTCACCTGTTAGTGCAAAAGAAGCTGTTCATTTCTTTTCTTTTCTTTTCTTTAATTGGGTAAAATAAAATTGTTACTGCTGCAGCTTTGGGTTCTTCAGCTTCCACCCCACAAAGTAAACCCAGCAGAGACTCGGACATGACCGGTTCAAGTAAACAAACTTTGCTGATAACTTTTATTAAACGAGCACACGGTGGTAAAACGAGCAGAACCTCTGCTTCGCTCAGCAGCGAGGACGGTTCAGGGTCGTCGTCTTTGTGATGCGTTTTTCCTCCGAGACGCAGACGATAAGAAGTCGGTGCGTAAGAACGTCGGGACGTGGAAATAAATCAATCACTTTAGACATAAGAAGGTCACTGACTTTGTGTCGGTGGCTGAATGTAAACCCGTACTATCAGGTGTTTGGGTTGAAGCTCTGCAGCTGTGTTTTTGTTTTGTTTGCAGAAAGAAAAAAAGGATCTATCAGAGTTTTTTAGTTTCTAATGTGGGCGTTCCAACAAACGGGATGTTTTACCTCCTTAGAGCTTTAATAAATTGCTTTCTAAGCACACAGGGTTTATTTGTGCCATAGTAGATTTTTCTTAACTGTCGTTAAAATGTTTGTTTTTGAATCAAATGAGTAGAAAACATTCTCCTTTGAAAGGTACGCATCACTAAAGTCCCTGTCACACTAGACAACTTATGAAACATTTTTTATGTCTAAATTGCTAATGAAAGTTGTAAATTTAATCAGTGTTAGAATTACATTATGCACACGCCAAAAAGACATTTGCTGTTGGTTTTTCAACTCCATCTTCAACGAGTCTTTAAAATGTTCATACGTTGTCTAGTGTGACAGGGCCTTATGTTGGCAAGATCAGTTAAAAATTAATTCAATCTAAACATAAAATCAAATCCTAACTGTTTTTTGTTTTTACTAAGTAAATCTATTTGAAAGCAGACTTTATAAAGTGTTTTCGATGGATTCAAGCTTTTGTTTACATTTCAGAATCTGGTAAACAATCTGCAGCGTTCAGGATAAACCTGTTTGATTTCATAGTTCCCAATGAGTAACTTTTTTTATTTTTATTAAATCATGAAATATTTTTAATATGACTGAATCCTCTTAGTTTGAGGAGTAATTAATTTGTTTTCTAAAGCATGTCTTGGTTCAATTTGTATTTCCAACGTCATGATGATTTTAAAGCTCATCACACCGTCTGAAGCAGATTAATAATAATCTCTGGTTCTGATTCATCTTTGACGGAAAAGTTAGATTTATTTTATTGTGTTTTGAAGCCGTCTTGCAAAGAAGAAACTTTTTAATTCTGCAGCCCTACAGAAGGGAGGGAGCTGGATGTTTTGTTTTGTTTTTTCCTGTAAAGCGAGTTGTTTCAGTGACATCATCACACGGAGACGAACTTTTGTTCAAATGGCTCCAATTTATGCAAACCTGTGGAGCGAGAGCGGAGCGTGGAAACGACACRGTGTTTTAGGTTTTCTGTCAAATGTTTTCTGCTACTGTTTTCTGAGTGCTACTGTAGAAATGTACTGTGTGATTCGAAGGGTTTAGCATTATTTGTGGGGAGATTTTTGTAAGTTGGTACACAACTCTTTATAGAACATATAAATAAAACTTTACAGTTAAACATTTTTGGGTTTTTTATTTAAACTCGTGTCAACATTTGCTTCTATGCTTAAATGTGACTTGAAAATAATGAGTTGTATGAATATTTGACTAAAATAGAAACTTAAGGTAGTGCACCTAATTTCCCTCTGGGATCAATAAAGTATTATTGAATTGAAGCCTACAGATACATTGAAAATACACTGATTTAATGGTAGCAAAAGGTTTTGTTATTATATTAATATGTTTTCTCTCAAAATATTGAATTGATTTAGATGAAACTTAAATTTATCAATGGTTCAACTATTGGGATCACCAGTTCACAAAACTGGCTGAAATTCAGATTTACAAATGTTGAGCTAAAATTTGACTGCACCCTGACATTAGTTTTATTATTACTACGGGTTGAATATTTTAAGCTGTACTTGACTTTTTATTATTATTTTATTCCTACATAATATTATTTGTTTTAATTTGATTAAACATCTTCAATTGTTCATATTACCTAAACCTAACAAGCTAAAGATGAAAAGTAAGCTGTGTAGATTATGGGAAACAGAAACACTTCCTCTTCTTGACCTGCAGGCGGCGCTGTGGGGACACGTTAACTTCCGGTGTCAGCTCGCACGCTTTCCTTCCGCGGCTTCAAACGCAAACCTGACGAGTTAGCACACCGGCTATCAGACAAATAAAGACACAATGAGCAAAGCGCACCCACCAGAGCTGAAGAAGTGAGTTTACTTTGTTTTTTAAAGAAAATATATTAATGTTATTTGTTCTAAATGATTATTAGATTTTAATAGAAACGAACGCTAGCAGCGCTGCTCTGTTTTCTATATAAAAATGCTAACATTAGCTTTCCTATCTCAGCCTCTGTAACCTAAAGTGTTGTTGTTTTAATTTTCAGATTTATGGACAAGAAGCTTTCATGTGAGTATGGTTTTAATCTGTAAATGTTTATACAAACTTTCATTGATTTTGAGCTTTATCTTAAAAGTGAGTAAACCAAGTCACTTCTGAGCTGTTTTTATTTTTTACTTTTTTTTTAACCAGGAACTCTAAGATAGTTGTTTTGATTCGCAAAGAAATGTCTTAAAACTAATTTCTTTTGCAACTTCTTTTTAATATTGTTTAAATTAAAGCATGCACCTGTAAGAATCAGATTTTTCATTAAGCCTGTTAATCTGTAGTTTCTGGCAGGAACTGAGAACAGAACATTTAAAGGATTAATAGGCTTTTAAAAAAAAAAAAAAAACCTCCCAACAACAGATTTTTATCAGTTGATGTCGAACAGGTAGATTTAACAGCTTCTGCGGGATCTTTACTCCTGGTTAATATAGTGAAATCCAGGAAAATAACTTAAGCTTAGTAATTGTTTAGTGTATCCATAGTGTAGGGATTTAAGTAAAAAAAAATGGTAAAATAATAACACCAAAGTCATGTGATTATTATTTATTTATTAATTTATTTTAAAAAGAACAAATTCAGTATACAATAAAAATTCAAATTGTAAATTAAATGAAACGTAGTGGAGGAGGAATCTATATATGCCCCTTTTCCTCAAATAAATAAATAAATTAAAAATAATCTTCCATTCATGCTTTTAGGTTGTGTCTTTAACTTTGCTATCCTCAAATTGTAACTTGACATTCAAGATCTTTGTGTAACTGATGTATGTGTCACAGGTCTCTCTTGCATGAGACTACAAATTTCAATGAGATTACCTGCCTAAATAAATAATAATAATAATAATCAAATTATCTCAAGTATGAAGGAAGTTATGGATGTTTTGTTTTTGCAATCAAGCTCATGAGTTCGGATGTAATTCATAGCTGAACCAATCACTTTGATACCATTTCACCTTGTGTTTTTTATTCAATTTTTGCTCAACTTCCTTTAAAGATGAAGATATCACCATGAAATTAGCAGAATTTATCCACCTTCTGCTCCTTTTCAGAAGCATCTTGTATCCTAAAACTAAAAATACATTAAATAATTCATTATAAGTAGCAGAAAAAGGTATAAAATAATGTTAAAATGGCTCCAAACTGCAACATCAAATCAACTTGAGGGTTTAAAAATCCATAGAAAGAAAACAATTTTAAAAAACCATGTGGGCTTTTTTTTTGTAAACAGTGTGCAAAATGTGTARGTGATGAAGAACAGCGTTTCAGTGTAACATTAATTTAACCAAAGTTATCAGCCTTTAACTTTCTTGGTTAAATCGATGGGGTTGGCTCATTTAATGTTTCGTTGTGATGTTTTTTTTTYCTGTTCTTTAGTGAAGCTGAATGGAGGCAGACACGTGCAGGGCATCCTGCGAGGGTTCGACCCCTTCATGAACCTGGTGATGGACGACTGTCTGGAGATGGGCCCAGGAGGACAGCAGAGCACCATCGGCATGGTGGTGAGGACCGGAAAAACTTCTTTTGTTCAGTCGTAAAAAACACCTCGCTTTCTCAAACYTTTATTTGAGTAAATAAATCTGGGAAATACATCATTCATGTATGACAGAATATTAGAGCCAGGTTGAGATTGTTTCCTTTTACTACCAGAATAAACATCTGTGTGACTTTATTCTAGTAATATTACGACTCATATTATCATATGCTCAAATATTTAAATGTTTTTTTAAATATGATTTTATTTTTTTATTTCGACTTTATTCTCATTAATTTAAACAAATCTATATCATAGTTTGCCCATGATACTCTGTATTTAAAGAGTAACTTACCCCCAAAATTAACTTTTTTTTAGCTGATAAACTGTCTAGAATGTGTCTAAAATGTTATATAGTACTGTTTCTGTGCTAATTTTGATGTTTTTGTGCGTATTTGTTCAAATCTGTAATATTTGAACAAATATGTGTTTTTGCTGCTCATATGGGTAGAGCAGTGGTACTGCAGGCTAATTTGCATTTTGGTTAACAGCTCTCCACGGTGACGTGTCTTCTCCACGATTTCGTCACAGCGGCTGTGTTCTGGTATAAAAGCCTCTCTCTAAGACACGCCCCTGCAGCAGTCAGAGGGTGGAACAGTTAGCAAGCTTAGCATGATCGTCTGTTGACCTTCAGCCTCGGGTGGGGAGAGCTGACTGCTGCTCTCTCTCTCTCTTGTCTCTCTCTCCCCACACACACACACCAGCAGTACGTCCTGCACAGCGGGAGGGGAGGAGGGAAAGAAAGGCAGCGGGGCAGTTTCAGCCCGAACCCACACATGTCAGCTTGTACAGATTATCTGTAAATTATAAAGATTTTACATCATTTTGCAGGTATACGGACATATAGAGCAATCTCATGGTTTTTTTCAAGTCTTACGGATATTTTAAAAACCTCATTTTCAAATTTATCTAACATGGCAGAGCCTATAGGATGATTTACAAAAACAATAAATAACATCAAACAGCCATCTTCCAACCTGTTCTGCCGCTAGAAATAAGTTACTTTTTCCTCTCTTCCTCTCTTCCTATTAAAGAAACACTTTAATACCCCTTCATCCTTAATGTAAATGCTGAAATGAAGACTTGTCCTGTTTGATATCCTAATCCTGAATGAACCTAATCATTTGTTTTTTGTTCCTCTTCTAAAGGTGATCAGAGGAAACAGCATCATCATGTTGGAGGCCTTAGAGAGAGTATGAGAGGACCGGAGATGGAGCGACACATTTTTACATTCTTTGTCCCAGTTTAACCTTTGTATGTCTGAGTTGAGATGTTTGGATGGTTTTAGTGAATAAATCTTTTTTTCAGTTTGTTTTTGAGCTTTTATTTCCTAATAGAAGTTATAGTCTGGTTTAACATAAACAGCAGAATGAGGTCAAAGTCAGTTTCTTTGAATGGTTTTAATCACTTGTTTTGAATTGAAGTTTACTCCCAACAATCTTTATTTAGAGGTCATTAGAACTTAGAGCTCACAAATACTCAGTTTTTGTTGTAGAAGAGCAAAAACTTGAAGGGTTTTGATGCAGTCTCGTGTAGGCTGAAGTATAAAATAAGAGGTAAGTTTTGATGAGACCATAATAGACATCACCAGCACATTTGGAAAAAWCCTAGATGTGTGATCCTGTAGAACAATAAGCAGCAGAAAATGTACAACAAAATGAAAAAAGAAGGTGCTGCAATGGTCCAGTCTGTCCAGAACCTAAGCTTTGTTGGTCTGAGTGCTGCCAAAACCTCAATCAACTGAGGTCATAATTAAAGCAAAACTCTTGCATATGTGGGACTAATTTAAAAACAAGATTATTAGAGAAATGTTGCTATGAAACACAGTGTTGTATAAAGTACCACAAAGTGATACTTGAGTAAAAGTACAAGTATCTCATCAAAAAAAATACTTTGGTAAAAGTTAAAGTC